TAGGATATATTTAGTAACGTTAGTACTAACTTTTGATGTAAAAAAATTACAAAAATAAGGTTTTCAACTATAAATTTCAGGAAATTCGTGACGTAGACACTTTAAGTAATGTCTATTTGTGAAATGTTATCATATAAATATATGCTAAAATACATCCTCTAAATTTTAAATGCATAATTTTTTGCAAAATATTCTTCTCGGGAGATATTGCGCATGCGCGAGCACCGTTTCATGCATGCATGACGGATTGAAAAAAACTGCATAATATAGAAAGCTAAGAGAGAGGGGTTGAGACTGAAGAAAAGCGGCAGGCAAGATAGTTGAGGAGCGGTAAAAGAAGAAGGAGGCTGAGCTATGGACAAGGAAAGGAAGAGGAAGGTCGGTGTGGGATGAGGTACCGTAGGGATTTTGCACCATACAGGCTAGTGCGATCTCCTAATTATAAACGCAGGTCTACTGATAACAATGTATTACAGAAATCTGTGCTTAGATACCCACTAACCTAAATGCATAATTCTGTGCAAAATATTCTGGGAAGATATTGCGCATGCGCGAGCAGCACCGTTTTAGGCGTGCAGTACGGACTGAAGGCAACTGTATAATATAGCTTGCTGCGAGAGGGAGTGAGTGTTGGGAGACTAAGGAAAGGCAGCAGGGAAGATAGCTGGGGAGGGAGAAAAAGAAGGAGGCTGAGCGAAAGACAATATTAATGTAGGCAAGGAGACGGGCGGGAGCGGACGAAGTAGGGATTTTGCACCCTGCAGGCTAAGGCGCTCTGCTAATTATGAACACCGGTATACTGATAACAATTAATTACAGAAATCGATGCTGAGATACCCCCTAACCATATTAAATTTATAATCATCACAAAATATAACTCTGTTAGTGAGATATTGCGCATGCGCTAACACACTAACGTAGCTAGATTATGCACTGGCTTGTATAGGCAGCGGGTATCTTACGTGCAACGTCTTCGTCCTATTTCTTAACTGATATCTACTAATGAAATTTTATCATGTAAAATCTATGCTAGAATACCTCCTCTCTGTTTTAAATGCATGATTTTCGCAAAATATTAATATTCTCGGGAGATATTGCGCATGCGCGAGCACCGTTTCAGGCGTGCAGTACGGACTGAAGGCAACTGTATAATATCAGGAGTAGATAATAGGGAATTCCGATAATATTATACAGATAACGCACGGCCCGGCGTGCATCAGTGTAAATGCAGCGCGGCGCGAGGTATCTTTAGACTGGCGCGCACTGCGCACACATGCGTCTAAACAGAGGATTTGCTCCGACCTGTGATTGGAGGATAAAAATAGACCCCGCCCACTTTTCCATTTTTGGAGGATAAAAATAGAATTCGTGACGTTTCGTTTCACCGGTAATAGCCGCGCGTGCATATTTGCTAATTAATTAAGACTAATCGCGCTTCACTTCACAATCGACTCAAAATTCACAGAGATTAAGGCTAAGACATGTGTCTATAATAGCTATAATTTATAGAAATGTAACTCAAATCGTTCGCTCCATATGATAATTAGTACACGTTCTTACCGGTCATAGCATAGCGTACGCGGCGGGAGTGGGCGGGGTCTATTTTTATCCTCCAATCACAGGTCGGAGCAATTCCTCTGTTTAGACTCATGTCTGCGAATGCGAACGAGCCGCTTGCGGCGAGTGCGCCGTGCGCACCAGTCTAAAGATACCGAGCGCCGCGCTGCATTTACATTGATCGCACAACAGGCCAAGTGCGTTATCTGTTTTATAAAATTGCGACACACACAATTAATTGAAAATAAATAGTAAGTCTAGATCACGAAAATTTATTTCAATTCCGAACGTCAAAACAAACACATTTACAGTTTAGTAAATTGCTTCACACACAATTAACAGTATGTCTAGATAAACAGTCTAGATAAATAGTCTAGAAAATAAATAGTAAATGGCATAGTCTAGAAAATTTATTCCAGTCCCGAAAGTCAAAAAC